GTCATTTAACATTTTCAAAGCTCTTCTGTAATCCTCATGCTTTAAAATAAAAAAATAAGTCAGGCGAGATCAAGAACAAATCACACAGGAGGACATGTGAGAGACCGTGAACTCTGAAACACTGCGAGGTACAGCGGAAGGCGGAATCCTGCACCTTAGCCTCAGCTCACCAACTCACCTCTGCCAGGGACCAGTGCCTTCCGAAAGGCTTCCTTCAGGGAGCTCTGCCCGTGCAAGAGTCTGTGGCTGGGAGTGACAGCGACGTGGGACGCACCATAAATGGCTTCGGGAGTGGCCGTGTAGGCGGTCAGTTTTTCTCCTGTGACTTGCCCGTCAACCTGGCAGGAGGAGAACACGGAGCACAGTCATTTCACTTCTCGGTTCTCCCTCTGGGCCGTTGTACTCCCAGTGACATCTCCTCCTCCCCCCTCCTCAACTGCAAACAGCGGGGCCAGCTTCTGGCCACAGCCCTGGAGATGAGGGTCCGAGACGGACCCTGGCAGGGGCGGAGAAGGAAAGGAGAAAAAAGGAATGCAGCTCTTCAGAAGTGCCCACCAGCAGGCGCACTGGGGCCTGGACCTAAGGCAGCAAAGCGAGCTCAGAGGGATGCCCTGGCCCTGAGAGTCGGACCGGGAGTCAGCTGGAAATCTCGCCACCTGCTCAGAAAAGCAGGGGGAGGAAGAGCTCGTCTCAGGGTTTGATTTTCAAAGGTTATCAAGGCACACACTCTCTGATGGGGGCTCCCATGGCTGCGGCCGGAGTGAGCCGGGTCACGCTGGTGAGGAGATGGCACGGCAATTGTGAGCTCAGTGACAAGCGGCGGGGCTCAGTGGACACCAGCTATGGCTGCCAGGAGGAAAGAGCCTGGAAAGGTAGGTCAGCTCTGTCTCTTGGCTGCTGCTCCCCCTCCCAAGGTTCTGAGTGGCACTGAGGAGAGGGAAGGGTTTGGAGCTAAATGCACTGGGCACACAGGTCTTGATCAGAGGAGGAGATATCAGAAGGATAGAAAGAACAGCCAGCCAAGAAACAGCAACAGAACAGCTCTCTAGCCAGCAGAGACAAAGGAGAGTTTGAGGGCACCTTCCAGAGCAGGTGGGCCTTGGGCAGAGTGACCTTCAGCAGGGCCCCTCTTGTGGACCCTGGGGAAGCACAGACCCTAACAGCTCTACGTCTGTGCACTAAGTGTGTCCAGTTAGCCTCAGCTCCGTTTGGGGACATGAAGCGCCCCCTGAGGATACAGTGAGAGCTGTGGACATGCTGCTCAGGGAAATGCCCACGCAAACACTCTGCACTTAACTTCAGGGAGTTCATGGACCCCCAGAGACTCTCTAGATCTGCGCTGTCCAGTGTGGTAGCCAGAGCGACAGGTGGCCACAAGCACTTGAAATTTACGTGCTGTAAGAGTAAAACAGCAAGTTCCAAAGACTTGGTACTAAAACAAGAGTGCTGTTTCCTTCGTACTTTTTTTTATTGATCGCATCTTGAAACAATAACATTTTGAATATAATGGGTTGAATAGAATACGTTAAAATTAATTTCACCTGTTTCTTTGCACTTTAAAGGTGGTGGCTACTGGAAAATTTAAAATTACGTGTGTGACTTGCACTCTTTTCTACTGGACGGTGCTGCTGTGCTGCCCCAGATGCTGGTCTCGTCGATGGGTCATAACAATGCGGAAGGGGACTTGTGGGCATTAACTGCTGGAAAGGCTACTGCTTGGTCACCTTTAATGTGAAGTCCAGGTGGCAGCCCACACAGTCCCCGATCCAGTGGGCCTGCATGCCTTTGATTCCGTACCATTCCGGGAGGTCTGCCAATGCGTCCTGCATGGCCTGTGGGAATGAAAGAGAACCGAGAGGTAGACACACGAGGCTTGGGAAAGAGAGTGATTTGGGGCTTATGATTTGGGGAGTGAATGGGGGACGCGGAAGGACCACAGGTGAGAATTCTAGAAGAAGCGGTTTTAAAAACATGATACATTTTAGAAGACCTTGGTTGAACAAACTTAGGCAAACTGAGAAATCCAGACCTTTTAGAACAAGTGGATTTATTAGCTACCACGGGGGGAGCTGCAACCCAGAACCCTGAGAGCTGGACATAGGTTTGGGACAGAACGCAAGGGACAAGATTTAATGAGAAGATTTAATTAAAATGGGCACTTTTAAAAGCTTAACACTTAGCCTACTTCTGAATCAGTGTGATTTGATTAGCAATTGTTTTTGAATTATAATTTGTATGTTTTTTCTAAAACTTTTTCTTGTTGCCAAGATTTCTTTATTCTTCTTTTAAAAACCACTTCGGAGCAATCACTCCAAAACCACAGTGCATGTTTGAGTTCTTTCTTTTTTAAAAAATCTTCACCCCGGGACTTTTCCACTGCTTTTCAGAGAGAGTGGGAGAGAGAGAGAGAGGAACATCGACGTGAGAGAGGGACATCGACTGGTTGCCTCCTGCACGAGCCCCAACCAGGGCCAGGATCGAGCCTGCAACCCAGGTACGAGCCCTTGGCCGGAACTGAACCCAGGACCCTGCAGTCCGCGGGCCGACGCTCCAACCACTGAGCCAAGCCGGCCAGGGCTATGTTTGAATTCTAATAAAGGAAAATACTTTCTGAAGGCAGTAAGATGTTTAACAATCTAGATGTCCCCTCTAGAATATTCTAGAGGAATAAACCCTCTCTCACATCCTAGTCTCATTCTCCTGCCTGAACTTATGCACAGAGATTTATACATTAAAAATTTCATTTGGCAGGATGTTTATTTCCCTCTGACAGCCCTGCGTTTAACCTGCCTTCTGATATGTTTTATGTATTTCTAGCAAAATCCATTTGTTGTGGCATCTCAGTGCAAAACATTTATTTACAAATACAGTTTGCTCTCCAAGAGTGTCAGTTCCAGCGAAGGTGCTGCTGACCCAGAAGAGAAACAGTCACTTGCGAGCCAGGCATCCTGTTAACGAGGTGGGACTGGGCAACAAGGCGTAGGCTCAAGGGACGGCAGGGGCAAAGGGCCAGAGGCACCCACCAGCCCACACATACAGCACGTGTGCATCTCAGAGCCACGCGCAAGTGCTACTGCACAGCTTCCCAACAGCTGGGAGGGGGACGTGCTTCTGGATGTGGCCCCGGGAGGGAAGTGGCGAAGGAGCCCCGGAAGCTGGCGGCAGCCAATCTGGTTAACCTCAGCTTATCCACAGGCCCGTGTAGTCACGATGGCGCACTGGCCGGTGTGGCTCAGTGGACAGGGCATCGGCCCGCACACTGAAGGCTCTCGGGTTTGATGCCCAGTCAAGGGCACGCACCCGAGTTGCAGCTTCAACACCCAGCCCTGGTCGGGGCACATACGGGAGGCAACCAATCCATGTGTCTCTCACATCGGTGTCTCTCTCCCTCTCCTCCACTCTCCCTTTCTTCCACTATCTCTAAAAATCAGTGGAAGAAATACCCTCAGGTAAGGATTAACAATAGCAAAGACCCCACATATACTCACGATGGCCACACTTGCCAGCCTTTTCCCCCCTTCTGACCCAGCTAACCCACCTTTTTAGCAGCAGAGCTATTCTAATTCCACTAACTTCCAAGAGACGGTGACTAGAGGTCCCGAAATGTCACCGCCACCATCCTAACAACGCAGATGACAGGGGCCAGACTCTCCCAACGACAGAGCCCCCTGTCTGATGAGACAGCTCTGATTCCCAGAGGCCACCCACTCGTCCTGCTGCCCCCGGGGCCACAGGACAGAGAGGCTGCAGCTGCACTGACAGGAGGGGAAAGTAAATGGCCACATGATGAACATCGCAGTTTGTTCTGGGAAAAGATGAAATGCAGGCAGCCGTCGGGGACATTCTGCTCAATTTCCTTCAAGCCAGAAGCCTGCCTATAAATTTAAAACTTGCAATAACAGGAGGCCGTGTCTTCCCAAGACTCGGGTCTAAAGATGTGTAAATAAAGGCCACCGTAACCCAGCCACTAGGCTGTTTTGTTTTATGACAATCAAAGTGACAATAAGCACCATGGGGAATTTGGAAAGGGTGAAGAAAAATAAGTTATGCAAACCGACTTAAGCACCCCGGGTCCCTACCATTAACATCTCCTTCTGTATCTTCCATCCCACCTATTCCCGTCTTCCATCGATTCTAAGATGCAATTTTCCCAACTCCGAAAGCGGGACGTGTCCTGCGGTCCGTGGTGCCTGACTGACAGCATGTCTTTCTCGGTGGAGCACAGCACTGAGAGCCAGTGTGTGTTAGAACTGATTAGGTATAGCAGGGGGGTTGTGCCACGGACACACTCTTACACGGCTAAGCTCACGCTCTTAGTACATGCTTTTTAACTACAGTCTGCATTTTACCTGAGTTCACAGCTTATTACAGCCCTGGAAAGAGTCAAATCTCTATTTTGAGCAAACCAGACATTTAGAATTAGCCACCTAGAACAGTAAGCAAACCAGAGAGAAATGGGAAGGCAACGTGGGACACTGTCCCCTTCTATAAGAGAACACTTATTTTGAAAACAAAACAATATAGTATGGAGATGTATGTATCTATTATGACTGTTTCCTTAGCAGCAGCAGCCATTGGCTCAGTCTCCTGCTCTCCAAAGGCCCCGGGGCAAGGACAGGGCATCGGAGTAGAGAATCATGATGCAGAACATGACCCAGCTCCAGCTCCAAGAGGCCGGCCGGTCAGTTCCATCAGGAACAAAGCAGAACACCTCTAATTGCGGCCCCTTCCATTACCGGGCCATTGGTGCCCTGTCCCCGTACCAATCGCATTTCCTAACTTGCTAAGGCCTCGCCTTCCTGCCTTCCTGCCACACACGCAGGCTGTCTGCCTTCTGCACGAGGGTCTGGAAAACGCTTGGTTGCTTGGGAACCAGTGCTCAAGGGCAGGTGGAAAGAACGCAGGTCTGGGACTGAGGGGACTCCAGTTGAGCCCAGCTTTCCTGGGCTCGGGGAGGGGGGCTCAGTTATAAAACGAAGCAACAGGAGGACAGGACGTGCGCTGCTTGAAGTAAAGCGGCACCGTGCCCCTCTATTTTAACGTTTTTAGACATTGGACTGATTTTGTACGTCTGAGAGGCAGGAGAGGCAGGCATGAGGGTTTGTTACTTGCCATTGTTTTTCAGATCAGGGCAGGGATTCAAGCACTTGGGGGACTCTGAGCTAACGAGGTCAGTGGTGACACTCACTAGCTGTCCCTAGCACGCCCAGGGACCCCACCTCTCCCAGCAAGGTGCAAATAATAAATTTCCTGCCCATGGAGCCCAGGCTTGGCATTGCCCTGATCGAGACCACCTGCAGATGTGACTGGGCATCGGTGAGGACATTCCGGAGGTGGGCACACAGCGCTGCATTTAGGGAGAGGAAATGTAAGCGTCTGTATCATCTAGAAACCACAGTGGAGCCAGGCCCAGCCCCGCACCAACTATGGGGACTTTTTCCAGGCAGGAGTTCCCAGCTGCCTCCTGCAAGCTGGAGCTGGGGTGGGGGACACAAGTCTGATCCGCTCCAGGCAGCCTCCTGCTCGCCTGGGAAGTGCTGGGAACTGTCAGCCTCAGGTCGCCTCCTTTCCTTCAGTCTCTGCCTCCCCTCCTGCTCACTCCCACCCCCAGAACTTGAGGTGCCCCTTGGATCACCCCGAGGAGAACAGAGAACAAGACAGGATGGAAGGTGGAAAACTGAGTTCAACCTTAGGCTTAGGAGAGAAAAGATCCCGGAGCAGCAAATTACAGAGAAGACAGTAAGGTATTATTATGTAAGAAGGAGCAGACTCTAACCATTAATTAGCTCTGTGCGACAGGGAGTCAGAACCGGATCCTGGGACGGAAGCAGTCTGCTGTTTCTAGAAGAGACAGTGGTTCTGGCAGGAGCCTGCTCGGAGGGTGTGTCCCTGTGCGGGCCTGAGAGGCCCAGCCGGGGTCCAGAGCTGTAGGGCCGGAGTGCCCACCACTCAGCAGTTAGTAATATATTTTTACAAGGGGGAGGCACAAGGCCACCCCCAGCCCTGGCTGACCACAGGGGGAGGAGGGGGAGATGAATGAAGTCACAGCTTTAAAGCCACGGGGCTAAGAGGAAACCCTCCCAGTAGACGAACCAGAGCATGACCATCTTCGCTGGCCTGAGTCCTCACAGCCGTTTATCCCCACAGCCCTGCAGATGAGCGGACAACTCCTTAAACCTCTCTCACGTGCTCCTCTTGGTTCTCAAAACTTTGCCCCCTCGGCCAATATCTCACTTGTTTGCACACATGTGAAGGCCCAGGCTGCGCATACAGGAGGAAGCACGGGACCAAGGGGCTTTCTTAGAGACAGGAGGTAGGGTGGGGCCAAGTCCAAGTCGCCAACCTCACTGGCCAATCGGTCTGCAAAGCTTTCCGGGCAGGGCAGGGGTGATGGCGCTGTTACAGGAGGCTTTCCTGGCACTACCTGTGAGCCAGCCCCTGTTCTGGGGCCGAGGGAGGGTCTGGGATAGCCCAGTTTCCCAGAGACAGCCAGCCAGGCACTTTCACAAGCCACTCAGGGTTCAGGGCTGGAACAAGGCTGCCCAGGGTCCAGGTTCCAGAGTACAGGGGACTCTCAGGCCCCAGGGGCATGGACTGGAGACAGATCCTGGCCCCACTGCTCCTCTGTGGCTCCTCCTGCTCCAGCCTCCCCAGAGCTCCTGCCAGGCCCCTCACCTCCCTTCCCTCACCACTTCTCCAGCCCTGTGTCTTTGCTCTCTGCAGGCCCAAAAAGATCAATGCGGTCTTGTGAAGGCACCTCTGCTTCACCTGCCAGATCACAGGCGAAATCAGTGAGGAAGGCACAGGGGAGCAGGGGAAGGGAGGTAGTACCTCCCACCCCCCCGACTTCATAACAGCTCATGGTTGCCCCTCTGCTACTTGCCAACAGAATGGTACTTAGAAATACTTGTGAGGCGTGAAGTTTCCTGCACGTCTGAAGGAAACAGAACATTCCCCACAGACACCCTGTGCCTCCTGTCTTTCATCAGCTCCTTGTGACACCTCCCCAGCCCCTGGGCAGACCCAGGCCCCTCCTCCTGGCCTCCCAGGTGCTCTCCGGCACGGGTTGGTGATCCCACTGGGCTGTGACCGCTCACGTCGGCCACTGCCTCCCACATTGGCCTCCAAGCTCCATAAGAGCAGGGGCCTTAGCTCTGCTCCTCTGTGTTCTTAGCACCTAGCCCAGGGCCCGGCCAGGCACCCAAAACATCTGGGCAAACAAGGAGCAAATTCAGACTCCCTGAGAAGCGGTACAGACTGTCAGTTAGGAGCTCAAGCACCGGACTGGAATCCCAGTGCTGTTACTTACCAGTGTGAGTCTCAGTTTCCTCATCAGTAAAGTGGAGATAACAGGAGGACCTACCCTCGAAGGATTGATGTGAGGGTTAAACACAACGGTGAAGGAAAGGCCGGAGCACTGATAAGGTGGGGCAAGCAGGGAGGGAGTGAAAGGTGTGGACTTGCTCATATCCAGCAGCTGCCAAGGAACTCCTGAGAACCTGGGAACCATCACCACCAATGTGGGTTGGACTAAGCACCACCAAGGCCTGGTTATGTCCATCTCAACACCAAGAGGAGGCCAGGGACAGTGCCCCAGCGGCTGGGGCCCTGCGAGGAAACCACCTCCAAGGCTACAGGAGGCAGGAGCGGAAATCAAAGCCAAGGAAAGTTCAGATGGGAAGCCGTCTCTGCCTGCCCTTCCAGTTGTCACCCTGCTGTCGGGAACTGGGGCGCTGGCTCCATCACACTCTGAGCCTTGTACTTTGTGTGTGTAAGGCTTCAGTCCCCCTCCTCCCTCCCAGCGCTGCCCACAAGCTTCCTCCCACACATCTCTGCCAAGACTAATTCATGTTCCTCAGCGACTCCCACTGCAGGCCTTCTTTTCACAGAGCGTGCGGCTGAGAGCACTTTTAATGTCTCACAAAGCAAAGGATCCTAGCAACACCGGGTGGGGGGTAAGGGGAAAAAACTGAATACATCACAGAACAGCCTAATAAAGCGGTTTTTATATTCCAGGGCTCCCTGTAATTTTCACATCAGGCACCATCTTTATAATTTGGAAGTTAAGTGAATGAAAGAGGGCTGCTCCACAGCCATGTTCCCGAGCAGACCACCAGCTGTACATCACAGAGGCAGCTCGCAGAGCTGCCAAATCAGATGCAAATACAAAGCTCTGAAGATCATTGTGGCGGGTACAGCTCCTGGCCATCCCAGCACCCAATCGCTACCCTCTTCCCCCAGCCATCTTGACTGCAGAGGCTAAAAAGCTTGAGCCTGCTTTCCTAGTCTCCCTTGAAGCTGGGGGCAGCCACATGACACAAATGGGGCATCAGTGGACCTTTGCTGGGGGTTGCCAAGAAAGCTCTTGCTTTCCAGATAAAATAAACAGTCAGTCACCCTGCCCTTTCCACAGTGAATTTATAAAACATACATGTGACCATGTCATTCTCTTCCTCTGAATCCTTTAACAGGCTCCCATGGCCCCCATGATAAAGTTCAAACTCTAAGGCCTAAAAGGCCTAGCCCGGCCTCGCCCCTAACCGCTGCTCCAGCCCCTCCAGCCCCATCTTCAGTTTCCTCTCTCGACTGTTTCCACTATGCTGACATCCTTTCAGCTTCTCAAACTTGTCACAGAGATTTCTGTTTTAGGGCCACCACACGTGATTGCTCCTTATTTGGAGGGCTCCCCTCCAGCTTTATGGCCTATTTAACCCTTACTCATCTCTCTGCATCCCAAACAGTGAATTTTCCATTTCAGATGTTGTACTTTTCTGTTCTAGATTTCCAGTGGTTGTTTGTTGTTTTTTTAATAGTTCTCATTTCTCTCCTGAGATTCCTCATCTGTTCACCCATGATGAGCATCTACATCTTTAAGTTCCAGATCATTTATAGAAGAGATGCCTCTGGCTTTATTTCCTAATTCCAACTTCTAGGTCATCTCAGGATCTATTTCTTTTTTTAAAAATTTTATTTCTATGCTTTTTTATTTCTTGATTATGGGTCACAGTTTCCTGATTCTCTGCAAGACTAGTAATTTCTTATTATACGTTGAACATCACAGATGAAACCAACCTTGCAAGGAGGGAATCTGGATTATGTCGTCTCCCTTTAAAGGTGCTAAATTTTGTTCTGAAAGTTCCTTTTGAACCTGTCAGACTTAGCTTTATTTATTAAGGTGGGTCTATTTTGATTTTGCCCTCAGTCCTAAGGTGTTACCTGTATGGCTAATATATGGCTTTTTTGGAGGTGTCAACTGCATACTTTTGGCTGGGGCCTAACTCCGAGGTCTCTGAGCACCGTGCAGCCCCTGGTATCTCTGTCCACAGCAATCATTTTTCATTAGGCCTCAGGGAGTTCGCTTCGTGCAGCCCCCGCCAAGAACCTGCAGTGAACACAGATTTCCGCCCACTCTGACCACTCCCTCTTCTGATTTTCAGGGCAAACAAAGTGCTGACCTCCAAAGACAGCTTTTTCAATAAATCCGGCAGGAGTTCAGCAAGAAGCAAGCAAGTCACCATGGTAACTACCATTTCTGATGAACAGTTGGAAATTCACAGCTGACAATTTAAAGAATTATGCCCCTCAGTTAGGTTATTACATTTCCAACTTGAGGCCGAGGTCAAAACAAAAGAGCTAATTAGGTGGAGTTATAACAACTCCTGTTAGAGTCACCAGACAGGTCCTGGAGGTGAGCCTGCATCCCTCCTTGTCATGGACCCCGACTGTCAGCAGAGAGGGGCTCCAATGCCTGGGATGTTACAGAAAGCAATGTCCTCAGCTTTGTCTTCTCATTGGGTCTCTCAATATCACCGTGTGCTTACAAGGAGCAAGGCACTGCATTAGCCAGCTCTAGTGACTAGCTTTCCAAACCCACATGCTATTCTCAGCTACACTCTGAATAAACTATAATAGCGAAACAGCCTCATTTAAGAGGCGTCTCTTGAGTGAGAACGCTGGGGTCATCTCTCCACTAACTCAGCAAAGTTCTATAGCGGCCAGAGGTTATTTATAACGTGCTTTCTTTGCATATAAGTATAGTACGGGGTCTGACCCGAAGTCCATTTCAGTCTGGTTCCCTAATTCTGACAGTGTGACACAGGTTACTGTGGTGACCGCTGGGGAAAAGCCACCTCGACGTGCTGTCAGCAGCCTTCAGGATGCCTTTGCCTTTCCAGCTCCCGTTTACGCCCAGTCTTACGCTAACCAGTAGAGACTGTCAGAATGCTGTGAGAAGTGTCCCTGATGTGCTCCAATCATCTCTCTCTGGAGTTTCGGGGTGTGACCCTCCATTCTAGATCCTGAAACATGATGAGCTCAAGGAGGATTCCTTCCGCAGAGCAGTTCTGGCATGCCTGGAACGGGTTAACCTGCCCAGACTACTGATGATTTTAAGCAAGCCCCCTCTTCCAATGGTTGGCTTTGCCTTGAATCTCTGAACACGTAAAGAGCCAGGAAGCACCTCAAAGACCACTTGGTCCCACCCTCTCCATTTCCTGGTGAAGAAACTGAGGGCCAGGGACTCATGCACGTTTACACTGTTGATCAGGCACACAACAAGAGTTAAAATGCAGAGCTCTGGCTCCTGGCTTAGCTCACTTTCACTCTGGCATTCCCTCGGGGAGCCCGGCCATCTCTTCGCTCCTTTTAGATGGTCTTCCCTGGCCCCTCTGAAATGTCGCTCTCTTCCTGGAGGTCTTACCAGAACCACACAGATGAAGATACTTGTTTCCATTCTAGCTTCACTGCTGATATTACTGTGGGTAAAGCTTATGTGTTTTGGCCTCTATGGCAGGACAATGGCCCACAATCACCTCCAGGTGCCACTCTTGACTTACAACCGAGAGACCCAAACTCATCACCCTCGCAGTGAGTGACCCTGAGACTCGTGTGCTTCCTGTCTGTACCCCCGTGGCTCTAAGAGCCCTTCCTAGAGTTCACCCACAACATGAGGCTCTCCAAGGCCCAGAAGGCCTTGGTGCTCCCTGCCAACATGTACTATGGCATCACTGGGGAGTCTCCAGGATCACACTCACCTTCGCATAAGCAGTTGTCTTGATGAACCACTGCCTGAGGTACTTCTGCTCGACCTTTGCTCCAGAACGCCACGAACAGCCCTGCTCATCCACCTGCTCATTGGCCAGCACTGTTTGGTCCACGGGGTCCCAGTTAACCAAGGCCTGTTACAATTCGTGAAACACAATGATGTAATCTAGTGAGTACACGAAGGATCACCTCGAGGTTCCTCACATGCAAGGGGTCTGCAACCCAGCCTCTCTGTTCTGAGACCTGAGGGCATCTCCTCGGAGTACCGCGTGGCAAGGAAACCACCACGAGCTATAAAAAACACACAGAACTGCCCCTGTGCTTTCATGTCAGGGCAGTGCGCTTGGGAAGGAAGCTGTAAGCACATGTCTAACTCAGGTTTGGTACATTCTTGCAGGAAAGGATGAACTTGCTGAATTGGAAGTTTCAGTAAACAGAGGGAAAGAAATAACACTTGTACCTAGAACTTAGCAGGGATCAGTTAATTTAGGGGAAACAAGTGTATTTATTTTAATATAAATAGCTAACGTTGCTGAGTGATTGCCATGTGCGGGACACTGGGCTAAGTGCCTCACGCTAGCTTTTCTCATCCTCATGACACCTTTTAAGGTAAGAAGAGTGCTATCTACATATTGCAAAGGAGGAAACTGAGGGACAGAGAGGTCAAATAACTTGCTTAAGGTCACACAGGAAGTGACAGAGTTGCAGTCGGAACTCAGGTTTCTACGAACTGTAAACATCGTTTGCAAGGTTTTAAAATTTCTATTTAAATTAATGTGTAACAGACATAGAGTAATGTGAATAAATCTTAACTGTACAACATGCTAGAACTTCTACCAGCACTCATATCAAGATATAGAGCATCCCCAGGGCCCCAGAAAATCCTGCTGTATCTTCTCACAATCAACATCTGCTCCCCGGAAGGTAACCAAAAAAACCTGCACAGAACTAAAACTGTATAAAATACAAAAAGGGGGGGAAAAGCCCCAATGCCTCTACCTGTGCCTCCCGCCCCCCGCAGACCTCAAAGGATAAGGGAGAGGCAAACACTCAATACTTCCGATTGCAAAAACAAACAGGACTTTATTTTCTTATCAACAATTCCCACATGGCCTGGCATCTCTCTGGCTCTCGGTTACAAAATGCAATGAGGAAGATGTGCCCCTAAGAGGTTTACACGTTATAAATAAAACCCTGGTATCTGATGAAAGGCAAATAAAAGCAAAACACAAAAGCAATGTTTTTCCCAGTGCAAGTCTTGGGGGAAGAGGAAAACACCAAAGGAAATAGCGTTTCAGATCAAAGATGCAACAGCTGTGAGAAGCCACTCTGGTTTCTTCCCATGACCACGATCCGCCTCCACCGCAGAGATCAGAGCCCAGGCTCAGCCTTCCCGCAGGCGGACAGCCCAGAGGCGGCGCGATGCAGGGCCCTGGGGCCTGAGAGCATAGCGTGTGCAGCCTCTCGAAGCCCCAGAGCTGCTCCCAAACCCCTTTCCCGGGCCTCCTCTCTCATGTAACGGCCTCTATCCAGCTTCCCTTGAAGCCAGGTCTTCTCTGGACAACATTCCCGGATGTTCACGCTTTGAACATATACTTTGATGGACACCCTGATATTCAAGCAAGCACAGTCCTGCTACATAAAATAGTTTCTGGACAATCTTGCCGACTGTAGTTGTGTCCCTGGCTGGCACCTATGTTCTCTATCACCTACTGAAGCCCACTCCATGCTCCCCTGCGGTTCACTAGCTTCACTGGTAAGATACAGTCACACCAGTTATCTGGCAACATCGCAGAATGAGCCATTCCAAGTAAGAGAATGTTCCCAGCTGATCAAGGGTTAAACATGAGAATTAAGGGTTTTTTTGGTCTGAGTGATATATGGGACGCTTTTAGAAAGCATTTTAGAGATGCATACCGTAACACCACTAGGCTCTCGGAGATCAGGCCACTCTGGGTGGCACTGGGGATTCTCAAGAATCCTGATTCTGAGTTTCTGAGCTCTCTTCTCTGAGACCCAGTGGCCGCGATGCCCACGGCCCTCGGGCCCCACTTCGCCCTCTCTCGTCTCACCTTCCTCTTTGCTTGGGTTCTCTTTCCCTCGCCTCCCTGGGCCTCACCCTTTACACAGGACGCCTGTCCCTCCTAGATGTCCCTCCTAGACTGCACCCTCCATCGGCGTGCTTTGTCTCCTGGCCGGAGCACCGCTCCCTGGCCTTTGGCTCCTCTCCATTGTTTTCCTTGCTGCTTCCTCCTCCGGGGCTGCTTTGACACCGCTGAAGACCTTTTCTGAGGACACTGCCATACAGCCTCAGGTTCCAGAAGCCTGGGAAAGCATATGATTCAGGGTATTGATTTTTCTCAAAGTCTATTAGCTTTTTTCTTGACAAAAGCATGCTTAATTAAGGAACACCACATAGATCTTATTAAAGGGTGTAATTCCCAAAATCGATATTGCTCCATTCCACCCAGAATGGGCCTAAATTTGGACTGAGTCCAGGGGGAAGGGCCAGGGTTCCCAAGGCTACTGCCACCACCTTCCAAAGCCACAAGGGGCGGAGTGGGAGAGGCCGTTCGTGCCCAGCATGTCCTTCAGTTTGCTTCCTGAAGACAAGGGTGCACTGCGACCCTAGCTTAGGCTAAGCCTCCTGCATCTGTCTCTATATTAATTCTAAAACTTTTCCACCTTAGAACACAATGATTCTGTGAGTACTATTCACTGTAAGGACCAGAGTTGTGATGGGACCCCCAGAACAGCAAATGTAATTCTGTGTCATTAAACGCCCCCAGTCCAAGGAGAATGTCTTTCCTACCTGTTACTTCTGAATTTTCTAGACCTGTGTTGTCTAGTAATTCTACCAGAACATTGTCTAATTCTAGGCAGTGTTCTGTGATGGTGGAAATGTTCTAGCTCCGTGACGTCCAATATTAGCCACTAGCACATTAATGTGGGCCTCAACCTTCAATCTTGATTAATCTTAATTACTTTAAATATCAACACCACATGCCATTCGTGGCTAAGGTCCTGGACAGCACAGTCCTAAGCCACACTATAATTTACTCTCCCTCACCCCGCACCATCTAAGGCTGACTTATTATTACCGAGCTCCTGCCATAACAAGCACTTCCCTTTCTTGGGAGACCACTAGTGTAGGCACTGTGATAGCTGTTCCCTAAATATCACCTCTGTCTTCCCAAGACCCTGCGACGATGATGCACCCCGCTCAGCAGATAAAGAACCACGATTCTCCAAGGTTAAGTGACCCAGCCGGCACACGGCTGGGAGAGGAAGCTGAGCTAGGGTTTGAGAGGCCTGCGTTCCTCCTCTGCCCCCTCCCTGATCTCAGCACAGGCACCAGACACTGTGATGTGCTGGGAATTCAAGAGCGAAAGAGCCAAGCCCTGTCCTGGAGGCACCAAACTAAGCCAGGCAGTGGGTACTTTCTGGGTCTGCCGTGATTGATGTCACGAACTTGAGGTAGTGCTCACTGTCACAGCTACTGTGCAAACAGGGTTTATCTGTTTCTTATTGAACAATGGGATGCGTTCCAAGAAGATGGCAGGAATTTACGAAATTTTTAAGGTGCAGTCAACTTGAACTTACCTCCTTCTGATAGGCCAGCCCAGCATCATAGAGCTTAATAAAGAGGTACTGAGTCCACTTGTAGTAATCTGGTAAACACGTAGTTATTTCCTGCGGAAGAGGGAGAAGTCACACATTGGCCATTGTGAGCACTTCCGCCCATTATGCATCGGCCTTGCAGGTCATTTTGAAAAGCAATCACACTGCAAACGTGACCAACCTATAATACTTTTCACCTATTTGTTAAGTGAGCGAGGAAAGCTGTTACCAAAATGCCAGCCCCACTTTCCCAGGGCATGTTTAATGATGAGATCAACCTGAAGCCTTCTGCACACCCTCCCTCCACCCATGCAATTAACAGGTGAATTCACTGTATGAAACTGGGTATTGCCTTTTTTGTCAGTACAAACATATTTTGGGGGCCATGAAGCCCATTCATCACTGTCGTTCATTTTGAAAGCAATCACAAAATTCAAGAGGAATATTTGCCTATTTTCATACGATCTTCATTTGAAAATAGACCTTGTGTTTCCACATGTAACCGGGGCCTGGTAGCTCTTTCAGACTCATTATAACCCATTTATTCCATTGTGTGAATCTGGCTGGTGTCTACCTAGGAAGACCCACTGCAAATATTATCAAATGTTAAACTCAGTCAGCAAGAAATCACCCGGCTTGTATTTCCAGCCTAAATCGAAGCTTCGTCAAATTTACTGTCTGTCCTGAAAACATACTTGCTCTGGAGTCTTTAAAAACAGGTTATTGATTAATCCCTGTAAGGTTGGGCTGATACACTCAAGGAAGCACAAAGGCCTCTACACTCCCACTGCTCCTTTACTCTTCTGCACAAAACAGCTACTGCAGGAATGGATGTGGGGCAGAACATTCCAAAGGGTTCCACTCGTTATGGACTATAATTGAAAGAAGTTACACTTTATGGAAAGTGCAACAATTCTGCCTTTCTTCAGATGACTAAGCAACGAGGGAGCTGAAACCCAGCTGGGGGGGCAAGTCTGGCAGGAACTGAGCAAGGGGCCTGGTAAACTCGAGGTGCTCCCAAAGGGCTACTTTTCTTATGTAAGATTCTTGTGTATTATGTCCTTTTATGTGCTGACTAATAAAAACAGCAGGGTAATCACTACTAGAAAACAAAGAGCTCTGATCATCGGCTCCCCACTCCACACCCCCACAAGGCAGAGGGTCCATAACCAGCCTAACAGCTTTGCCCACACTGTGGCTGTCGCCCCCCGACACCCCAGGGCCGGCCCCATGCGATGCTGGAGCTGTGACACTGAGCCACGTGCATGACAGCCGGCCCCAGCTCCCAGGTCCACAGACAGCAAGTCTGCAGGAGCTTTGTGCACAGAGCACCTCGCCAACTCCAGCATCGGACCTGCACACATGGGCGGACTTGCTCTCTGACACCTGCAAATTCACCCTCGCCCCATATCTTTTCCTCACCAGCTACCCCTCCCCCCGAGGACATAGCACAGAACTCGTTTTCCAGACAAGCAACTGAAGAACTTGCAGAGACAGAGGAAGGGAGAGAGAGAAACATGGATTTGTTGCTCCCCTCATTTACGCCTTCACTGGTTGTTTCCTGTATGTGCCCTGACCGGGGACATCAAACCCCAACCTTGGTGTATCGGGATGATGCTGTAACCAACTGAGCTACCCGGCCAGGGCAAGAGCTATGCTTGGGTGTTTCATTTGTTCATCACTGTCTGCTGGGGTCCTGGCACATTGAGGCACCCCCAAATTATTGTTGAAAGGAGAATAAACTAAATCGATATAGGAACTCCCGCATGTTGAATCGAACTTGTAGGTTTCGCAAACTAAATGCAAATTACACTGTGAGTCCGCCAGGTGAACTAGGGCAGGGGACTTGAGAGCATGGCCTTGCTATGGTTTGCTTTTGAAATCTGTGTTCCTTAGAAGCTAAAAAAAATGTGTGAAGCAAATATGAAAAAAATGACAGCTGTTAAATTCAGGAGATGACAGTTCTCGTTTCTCTATTTTTCCATATAGTTAAGTTTTTCAAATAAAGCATCAAAATACTTCTAATAAATACATCCAAGTATATGTTCCACGCATGTATGAGTTTTCTGCTTCACATGTATGAGTTTTCTGCTTCCATAGACTAAGAGTAAAAACTACACAGCCACGGACCAGCACGATTCCCCCCACATAGGCTAATGGTTTTGAAAATCACTTTTACCTAAAATTGAAGAAAGATGATATATCCAGTCAGAGGGAAAAAGATGGTTACCAGCCAAGCATTAGCCTACTTTCGGTCTGACACGAATGCGATCTCTTTGGAAGTGTCCCCTCCGAGGTATGCGGAGCCGTGGGCACTGTGGGCCCCTTCCCCGCCTGCCTTCGAGCTGGGTCTGCCCTGCGTTATTTACGTTGGGTTTCTGTTTGTCATTGGAAGAAAAGTCACGCCAGCTGCTGGAAGGGTACAGCTTGGAACCTAGGGCTCCAGGACCATTATCTACTCCCGACTGTGGAGGAGAGAATGTTCCACGATGTGACCGCGGCAGGACCTGCAAGCTGGACCTGGGCCAGAGGGGGAGAGAGCTCCCGGCAACCAGCCTTAGAGACTGTCTGGTCTGACCACACTGACGTTCATTCTGATGTCAACCAGGGCCCCTCCCTTGCCTCCCACGACATGCTGGTTCCTGGACAGGCTGTTGTCCTGACCTGGTCAAGCATGGAAAGTAACTTCCATACCTGGTAGCATTCACGTACTAGTTGGTACCCGAGACTACCCCCCCCCCC